TGAAGATTGGATCAGTTGGCTTGGCGCCTGGTCTAATCATTCGGCCTGTGGCCTTGGTTAGTCCTTTGGTGGACGCAGATGCTAAGTAAGAGGAGGGCAGCTGCCTATTTAGGCACAGGGTCGGCCAGGCCACCATCATTTTTTAGCTAAGTATAGGAGGGTGGTCGTCTGTCTTAGAATCGACTGTATGTCCAGACGGCATGCCCCTATGGTGATAGAGTAAAATATTCAATGGAGAGTAGCCGACTGTAAAGGTACATGCGGCATGCCCCTCTGAAGATAGAGTAAAATACTCAATGGAGAGTAGCCGACTGTAAAGGTAGAGACGGCATGCCCCTCTGAAGATAGAGTAAAATACTCAATGGAGAGTAGCCGACTGTAAAGGTACAGACGACATGCCCCTCTGATGATAAAGTGAAATACTCAATGGAGAGTAGGCGACTGTAAATGTATAGGCGGCCTGCCCCTCTGAATCAGTATCAAGTATTGAAATCATTCCAAGTGTTAGAGCAGATGGATCACCTAGTTCCCTTCCATAAAGGATGGATGGTGTTATTAATGAGAGTCGGCTTCTTTCATAGCCACGAGACTTCATTGTATAGGGGGCTGGCTACTATTCATGCCGCCTCTCTTACTGCCACACAAATAAGTGGAGGTAATCCCTGAAGGGAGACGGTCTTCAATTGGTTACTGACTATGCTGCCGGGTTTAATAACCTTAGGCAATTTTTTTTTTTTTTTCGAGGGAAAATCATAATAATGATAAGGACCAATGTAGTGTTATTTATCAATGCCAAACATTGAAGTGCCGGCCACTAAATTTCAAGCGTCTACGAGGTGGTACTTGATTTCATTGAGTCATCCGACCACTAAATGCCGACTGTTCTTGTGACCATAGAACTCTTGTTGCCATAAGAATTCCTAAAATTTATCATGCTTGGTTATAGGCCGGCTGTTACCATGATGTGCCGGTTGGAGTTTGAGCTGCCGCCTGCTAGCCTATTTGTGAGGACCAATGAAGGTGCCATCGAAGTGCCGGCTACCCAAGCTGAAGCGTCCACGAGAAGTTGCTAGATTTTATTGCGCATCCGTTCACTAAAATAAGAGCAATAAAGGTTCTGACTTAGCAAGAAATTGCCGGTTGTTCTCATGATGATTTGCTTGATGATCTCGGCCATCCATGCTTATTATGGCTTGTCTAACAAAATACGAAGGTTGCTCTGTTTTTCTCATATCCAACCAATAAGGGCTGCCCACTTTAGTTAACCACTGACTTTTAAGTGAGCATGTGCCACTTGCTTTGTAACATTGCTAGCTCCATTGCCGGTTAGTGGCTTTCTTGCTTTCCTTGCTTAGCCAAGTTCTAAGGTTAACCACCTTACCGCCTGTTTACATGTGAACAAAGGTGTCGTTTAATCATGGCTTTGTTCATTGCATCACAATACAATAAGCCATAATGTAAATGCCGGCTGAAGCTAGGTGACTAGCGCATGATGCCGGTTGCATGCTATTTACGTGCTTGGCATTATTTAGACAAAAATGATCATAAGACTCGGCCCCTATTTAAAAAGTATGAAGACCCACTTTTGCTCATGCCCTTTCAACCAAGTGCCGGTTGTTTAAGGTGAGTCTAGCTGGGACTGGGCTTGAGTCTTGAAGAGCACTTGTGGCCGCCTGTTTTCATTAACAAGGGTGGCCGACTATTTGATTTTATTGAGCGTCTGAGCACTGAATGCCGGCTGAAATAAGAGCAATGAGGATTCCCTAACTTAGCAAGTTGAGTTATATACTCTTGGGCTCATAAATTTGGCTTGGATGATCACTTCATGCGGCTCTTCAAACACATGGATACACACTTGGTTGGACGAATGGATAGCTTAGCATCTACTTGGCATGTACTCGTACCCAGCATCAACGTCAAATCTTAGCATGATATTTGAACTTAGCACGATAATTGTGTTTCATGTGCCGCATGTTTTACTATGGCTAGCTTCTTTGGTTGCAAGTGCCCCCTGCTAGCTTGAGCTACGACACCTAGATGACGCCTGCTCTCGAATGCTTCGACCATCTGAACTCAGCCAAGCCGGATGTGTTTTAGAGCCGCCTCCTTGCTGTGTTGCTAGGACTAGGCCGGCTGTCTATAGACATACAAGGGACTTGCTGTTGCGTGCATACACATGGTGGCTGTTTCTTTACAAACAATAGAAATGTGTCGTTTGATTCTTGATGTTTACCCATGATACTATGAAATTTCAAAAGGCACTCATTTTGAGCTTACATGGTGCTTTGGTAAGGATGCCGAGCTACTCTTCTCAATGGAGCTAACTTTCAAAATTTTATTCGGCCACATGATGCCGTATGATCAGCTTGCCGCTTGTTTTAATTATGTTTTGATCGTGTTGGGCATTATTTAGACCAAAGTGATTCAAGACTCGGCCCTCATTACAAAACATGAAGACCCATATCACCTCACGCATTGCTTGATGCGTTCGCTGTGGATGCCGCCTGCTTTCATGAAAGACAAGTGGTTTTTTGGATTTACTTGATGGCTAAACAGCCGGTTTCAATGCTTCCCATACATAAATACAGCTGCCTAGCTGCCTATTTTTTACATACACACGAACTCATTCGTCTCGGCCTTTTGAGTTGCTTGTTCTTGAAGTGATCAATCCGGCTGTTTGGTGGCTCGGATTGGGGTGGCTGTTTAGGTGTCGCCTACATTAGCATGGCTAGCTGATTTGTCATGCTTCGTGGCTAGGACTAGGCCGGCTGTCATCTGGCCGCCTGCTTCCTTGGGCGAGACGCCAATGCCCAGCTTTCACAATAAGAGACTAGCACATGAACAAGTTAAAGCATTCACTCTCATGGCTAATTATATTACTACGAGCCAAGCGCTACTCCTCTCGGCAGGCCGAGAGATTTTTATATGTGCGAGTATTTTGGCTGTTTGCTTTTGGAAGAACAAGTTGGAACCAAACTCATTTGTATCAAGTATACTTGGCATTATATTTTGAGCAAAAACCTTGCGACTGTACCTTGATAAAACATCATATAGAGCCGGCTGTTTATGCGAGAATGAGGGCTGCTCTTATGGTTGCCGCCTAAAAGCTCAAAGGCTCGACGTTGGCATGCCACTACTGCACTCACAGTCGGGCCTTTATCGAAGGAAAAACAGCAGGCTTCCTAGACATGTAGAACAACCGACCGAGGAAGCTGTTCGTGACAAGCATCATGGGAGCCGGCTATGTATATAGCGATGTGGGCTGGTAGTTATGATACTACTTATGCCACTTGATAATATCAAATGCTAAGATTAACTTTGTAGTAGGTTGCCACCTAAGGCTCTTAGGTGGAGAAGCTTGACCGTCTGACTCTTTGCATTCGGCCGTATGACGCCTGCAGTAGTTGGCCGCCTGGCCGGATGCTCGGAGGCTGGTATATTGCCGGTTGTACCCAGTAGTTTCATGCGAGGCGCAGGTAACTTCAACTGGGAGTTGTTTGATCTGGCCGACTGTTCCTTTGGTGGAGCAGTCGCCTTTTTATTGACAAGCTCTTGGATCTTTCCCTTAAAAGTACTCATGAGAGTCATGAGTTCTGTCCTAGTAATAGGAGCAGATCTATTCGGCCGCCTGCTGAGTCTCAGGCGGTGGGCCGGCTGGCCGACTGGGACCAGCCTCTCGTTCCCTCCTTTCGGTAGGACGGGTGCGCCGGGCCCTTAGGGTCCCGTCTGAAGCTGTGTGAGCTTCAACTTTAAATTCTTCCTCAGTATCATGGTCCGACTGAACTTGAGGGTCGTCTAGGGGACGCCTCTCTTCAGGAGTCGGTACAGACGTGGATACCATCTCAGAAGTACTCTCCCCACAGACGGCGCCAAAATGTTTCGGGGTTTTCTGATGTCCTGCGGGAGAGTTACAATTCCGAGACTGGAACCGGACGCCTGTACCTGCAAAACAGACGGATGCTCCGGATGATTGGAGAGTAATTAATGCGGAAATTAAAGTGATTGGGTCTCTCTAGGTGAGAGTGTTTAATGTGTGTAATCTGCGTAATCTCCCTTAATGAGGATTAAGGGAGGTATTTATAACCTCGGGAAACGTGCCAATCTAGGTTTAGGTTAACCTTGGGCTGATTGGGCTTCCCTCGGAAGTTGGGCCTAGGTGACCGGCTTCTCCATTAGGCATGGAGTATGCCACGTGTCATGACATAATAAGTCCAGGGTGGACGAATAAGCGTGTGCCACGTGGCAAACCATGAGAGGTCCAATTGGGGGGCACTTGGCAGGACCTGATTGGCCCACGTGGCGCATTCCGATTGGTGGGAGCAAAATCCCCTAATCAATAAATGTTCTTTTTTTTTTTTTGATGTGTTCGCTTTTTATTACTAGATTGAATTTTTTTACCTGTACATTTCTTTATTACTAAATATTCTCTCTCTCTCTCTTTTTATTTTACGTGCTCATAATTTTTACTAGATGTTCATTTTTAAGGGCGTGGTTCAGCAATCCTATGATTTTATGATAATCATTTTTAATGTACTAAATGGTTATTTTTTAAACATATTCACTATTTAGTATTAAATGTATATTTTTTATTACTAAAATATTTATTTTATTTACGTGTTCATATTTTTGTACTAAATGTTCATTTTATAAAGGAAATCATCATTAGATTTATTGTTGAGGTGTTCCTTGGACTGATGGAGATTTAGGGCCATTTAATTGCTAATTAGTCATTTAATTTGGTTCTGTTGAAGTATATCCTACCAAATAACACATGTAAGTGTCCCACATCGAAAAAAGAAGAGAGAGTTGAACACTTCATAAGGCTAAGGAGATACTCCTCATATTGCCATATGGTTTTGGGATGGAACCTCCTTTGATCTTGTGAAGTGGACACTCTCTCTTTGTTTGCGGATGCGGCCCAGACCCGTATTTAACAGGTTCTTATTGGTCTTAAATTAAATAATAACAACAATAAAAATAACATTAAATTTGGTACTTACTTCTTTAGGAATTGGGTCATGACAAATTTTGCGAACAGTTGTTATCTTGTGTTGACGAAGCCAACCCGTTAATTGGTACCCTTGTAAATCGCCGGAACATTCAATTAAAAACTGAGCTTTCAGAAAGTCATCCTCTTCAACAGCCAAATCAAGAGGAGTGTTACCCTGGTCATCTTTCAGTGTAATAAGAATCTCCCTTTCCTTTTGTGGTACCATTTCACACAACTTGTTTTTACTATGCTCATTCATATCAGTTAAGTGATGAAAAAAATTCCGACCTTGAGGACCATTCTGTCTTATTAACTGTGGATGCCGCTTTAGTATTTCTGATGCGGCTATGTATGTAAAAGTTTGCGCTGCTCTTAACAAAGGAGTGAAACCCTCAACATCCTGAGAATACACTGCTGACACATCTTTTGCAACTAACAACTTGGCCACCTTCTTTTGTTTGGGATAATAACCTGCATGCAAGTTTATATAAAAATGTAATTAATTAAACATTAGAGGGATGGAAAATAATATACAGAGTACTTTCTTTATTTTAGATTAATTATTATTGCAATATATATTTTTTTATTCTCTTAATGATAAAGTTAGCTAAGTGATGAGAAAAATTCCGAGCATGAGGATCAGTGGCGGATCTTGAAGATAATTATTCTAAGGGCAGTATGTAACTTTAATCTTGTTCCAAATGATTGCGGTGGTCATGCTTTGCCATGGATCGTTGCGCCGGTGTTGAATGAAGGAGCTCAGGATGAAGAGAATGGTTGTTACGGATGAAGAAAGGGAGTGGGATTTTTCGGGTATGTTTACAGTGATTTGGGTGCAGTGGGCGGTGATGGCGGCTAGGTTGATGGGTGGTGGTGTCGGCGGCTGAGAGGGTTGGCTAGGCTGTGGTTGTGGTGGCTTTGAGGAGAGAAAAAGGGGGGGTAATCTTAGCACATGACCCTCACGTGAGGGGGTCAATGCCGGTAAACCAAGTCAATTGCCTGAAACCGGGGTAAGGTGTGTTCTCCGAAAAAAAAAATCTGGTTTTTAGATGTGTTTAACAAAAAAAATATAATTATAAGGTGGTTTTTCACAACAAAAGGGTTATAAAAGGTGTTATTTTACAAATTTTCCTTATTAAAATACTATGGTTCTCTCCCCAAACACTGATATCTTGGCTTTCTCTCCTAAAAGTCCTTATTCTAATCTTTGCATGGAAGCATTAAAATTGAGCAAACAAACTCAAATAAAAATGACATTTAACATCGGATTATATGTAAGGAGTATTAAACTTACAGTGGTGTTGCTGACATAGCAAGTGCAAAGGAGTTTGTTTGGAATGGTTGAGCTCTCCAGCTAAGTTTGCATCTATCTCAATCAAGTACTCTGCCAACATATAGTTATTATGTATGATTGCAGTGTGAAGGATGGTGTTGCCCTGTATGTCTTTTAACCTCCACGGCGGTAGTGGTAGTTCTCCACGCCCTTTTAATTTCATCAATTCTTCTATTATCTTCTCAGACATTTGAACTCATACCTGTGAAACGACTCAAGATGAAGAGGTGTTTCGCCAAGGTGGTTTGTTTGACAGAAAAGGATCGGGTACTTTTTCAATGCATCCACAATCAACTCTTCTTCTGGATAAGGTTCAGATCGAGACTCAAATATGGAAAAATCTTTAGCGAACTTATATGTTTTGAGACCCTGAATTGCTAAATGGATGATGTTGCTTCCGTCGAGTAGTCGAGAAAGAAATTGTTTTTCATCGTTTAGCATTTCTCTTAAGGTTTGCCACTCCCGATTACAAACTGCTTTATACAAATCATTACTCATAAGCTCATCTTTTACTACCTCTTTCTCGTTTGCCTTCTCCTGCAACAACAATATTGTACATTTAAGGTAGTTATTCGAAAACTATACGTAGTACGGAGTACAATTTACAAGGTTATTGAATTTCCAAAAAAGATTGTGTCAAATAAAATAGAACGGAAGAGGTATAAATTTTTACATACCACTAAGGCACGAAACTCGTTCGATTTTGACTGAAATTGAATTTCGGCTGAAACATCCAGCTTGTTGGTGGCAAATTGATCAAGAAGAGTTTGTACAGAAACACCCTCCTTATTTTGTAGGAAAAAGTTAGCATTATGTCGAACCATGGCTTTGACCGTTCCAAAATCATGGTTCATGACAGCTATATGCATAGGTGTGTTCCCGTCATGATCCTGTTTATTAATCAGCAACACTGGAATTTCTGCCTTTTCCAAAAATTCCTTTGCTTGTAAGGTAGTCGGAAATCTTATGTAATGCAACACATTTTTTCCTTTGGGATCACATACCACTATTGACTCGGGACAATTGTTAATTATGACATCAACAACCGATAAATTAGAGCTGAATGCTGCTCTAAGTAGAGGGGTCATCCCATCTGCATCACATAAACAACCGATCTCGCTGTGATTCTCTAATAAAGACCTTACCAAAGAGATTGAGTCGTCTTCATTTTCATCAACAAAATGACTATTCGTGCTGGACAGTGCTCCCCTTTGGCAGTTAAGCGTGTTTATCATTTTTATGGTTAACATGTCAGTACCTATAATAAATACCAAGTTCATTAACAGCAAAGAAAGACAGTACAATAAGAAAACTTAATTCACTTTTATTTGTCTCTCATAGTCTCATGCACAAACTCCTTAATTATTTGTATTCGTTGCGGTTCTATACAAATATTAAATGATAATATGACAAATACATGCAAGATATAATAAGCTATAGCCTTTTTCTACGTGTTTAGTGTTATAATAGGGAAATTCCTTGTTTCTCATATTGAGAAACGAAATTTGTTTCTCATGGGGGCATTTTCGTGAATAAATCAACAAATTTTTTATTATTGTGAGCTCTACAATTGAATAAAGTTGAACAAATTTGTTAGTTTATTTACAAAAATGCCATGTGATACACTACAAGAAAACAACTCATTTCCGACGAACTGATTTTGACGGACATGTAATTCCGTCGGAAAATTCGAAATGTCCGATCGATTTTTTTTCCATCGTATATTTCCAACGAATTCAAGCAATCCGACGGAATATAAATCTGCCGGAATATTTGTACTTTCCGACGGAATATTCCGTCGAAAAAGGTTATTTCAGACGGAGAAATATTTCGTCGGATTACTGACGGAAAGTGTTCCGTCGGAAACTTGCGACGGACTTCCAATTAAGTCAAACTTGACTCCGACAGAACCTATTCCGTCGGAATGGACCTTTCCGATGGAAATTCCCTCGGAATATAGCGAAATTCCTACAAAATGTAATGCGACGGTGCCTTTCGACGGAATTCTGTCGGAAATCGGCATTTTCGACGGAATTACAGGATATTGCGAGGGATTATTTCCGTCTTTGATTAGCTGTTTTCTAGTAGTGAATTGCACAACCACCGTCACCAACATCAACGGATCTTTATCAATTGCTAGATTTAGGTTTATTTTGTAATTGTAATTATATATTTAGTGTATTAAATATATGATAATTCTATATTTAATTTGTTGTTTTGTTCAATATAATGTCCTTTTTTTGCTTTTTTCAATTTGTATAGATTCTTTTTTTCGATTTTTTTTAAAATTTTATTTCCGCTTTTGGGGTGGCTGGTGGGTGTATAGTGGGTGGTATGTGGTCAATGGTGTTGGGGTGGTCAGTGGTTGGGGTGGTTTTGGGATGGTCGGTGGTGTTGGGGTGATTTCGGTTTGGTGTGGGTGGGGTTTTAGGATGGTCGGTGGTTTTGGGGTGGCTGCTTTTGGGGTGGTTTTGGTTGGTGGTAGGGGTTGTTTTGGGTGGCTGCTTTTGGGGTGGTTTTGGGTGGTGGTAGGGGCTGTTTTGGGTCAGTACTTTAAGGATGGTTTTGGGTGGGGTTTTGGGATGGTCGGTGGTTGGGGTGGTTTCGATTTGGTGTGGATGGGGCTTAGGTACGGTGTTGGTGGATCATAGGTGGTGGTAGGGGCTTTTTTTTTTGTTTTTTTATTAACTTTTCGATGAAAATTCGGTTGGAATTTTTCGGCGGAACAGTAATTGTCGGAAATTTTCGACAAACTTTTACTGGCCGGGAAATCTCTTTAGACACCTGAATTCCGTCGGAAAAGTGTTTCAGACAAAATTTCCGTCGAAAATTGTCGTTTTTCCTACAAAATGTTTTCTGACAACAAGTTCGGACGGAAATTCCGACGGAAACGGATTTTCCGACGAAAAGCAGGGTGTTTCCGACGGAATTTTTCCGTCAAAAATATCCTATTTTCTAATAGTGTGAGAAACTAAGTTTGTTTCTCACTATGAGAAACTGGGACATTCTCGTTATAATATCGATGAAAGCTCAATGTTTAGTGTTATAATATCAAGTTTATATAGTTGCTGTTATTGCAAAACGTACTAAAGATATACATAATAGTAAAATCATGCAAATGGACATATACAGATTACAGACACTATATTACTCAAAAATCGTGCAAATGGAAGTATGTGACTGAGATTATAAGATAATACAAGCTTAAATAAGATATATTCATGTCGTCTAATAATAAAATATACAACCATTGAAATTCAGAGAAATTGCATACCTTGGTGAACATATGTAACAGCGAGATGGAGTGGAGCTTCGTTGCGGTTGTTAGTAAAGGCAGCCAATCCATGATCAATCTCTAGCAAGTACGCAGCAACCCGAACACTCCACCCTCCATTCAGTAAGGCTACATGGAGAGGGGTGTTCCCATCCTTATTCCGAATCCTCCAAGGGGCCTTGTCATCCTCAGGAAAACTCAATTTCCGGTACAAGTCGATCAATTGTTTAGCGATCACTGGCGTACGCTGTGTCGCTGCAATGTGAAGAGGGGTATCCCCGTCAGAGTTGGTGCCACAAATGAGATTTCGTCGATCAGCTGCTTGAAGGCTTCGCAAAGCCGCCTCGATGAAATCATGGTGACCATGTTGGGCGGCAACATGGATAATGTTGTAGCCATGGCTAGTCAACCCAAGAAAAAGTGATAGAATGTGCTTGTTAGATATTGTGAAGTTAAGTAGGTCCAACAAACAGACATGTTTTATGAATAAGACACGGGCCTTTTGTAGTTTAGAAATTTGTAAATTAAACTAGTTTAGATCTCGTGTCATGTACGATTATTGTTAAAGCTATTATATCATTAATCATTTTGATTTAACAAAACATCTTATATCAATCACTAATTATAGTTTTATAAAAATTATTATATACACTCTGATTCAAAAGTATTTCTTTCTCATTTGATAATTAAATGAACAATATTTATCAATATACGCAAATGATAATCTTGAATACACATTACAGTCAGGTAAATATAAGAATCTCTGTCACTTTTCTTAATTTGACTTTTGCAAAATTTACATACATCACATTGACCAGCGTTTGTTATAATCGTATCAATGTATAGTTTTCGAACATTTATAAAAAATAGAGGGAGTATAATCTTCATATTTCAAAGGTTATTTAACACAGTAAATAAATGAAGTTGACTCAGACAAAATAAATGAAGTAATATCCTGAATTCCTGATACATTAGCGATATTATCGACGACAATAATTCTATTGTAATGTACTCCGTAGCTCAGGTTGGATTATTTAAAGAATAACCAAAAAGTTTGATTATTGATCTAACCGACTAAAACTTTGCTTATTTTCGACAATTGTTTAATACAAATTTTATTTATATCCATAAGCAAACTCATGAAAAGGATTAATATTACTGTAAAGACAATATTAATCTAAATGTACCTTAATAAATAAAATATGTATAATTTCCATACTTTGATTAATATAAGATGTACTATTTTCCCAATCTATGTGATCTTTTTCTAATATAGATCTACTATATTATTTCTTATAGTATAACATGTCATGAAATATGTCTAAAATCTTATCACAAAGTACCTTTTTATTTATAATTGTCATTATTTTATGTTAAAAGATACTGAGTACATTAAATCTTTTATTTTAAGTAATTATTGTATTAATGAATTGAAGATAGTTATTATGTGAGTAAAAAAAATAGTTTTTTTTAAATAATTATATTAAGGACACACCAAAAAATGACACGTGTCATTATTGGTGTGTCTTTTAGTATATAGTTATTGATTGATTATCTTAATCTTTGTGATATACTGATATACTTGCTTCAGCTGTGTAAATTGTCTTCTAAGGCAAGCTTCATTCATTTTATTGCACAAACTTTTTTGATTGTCTTTTGTGATTTATATATTAGATGTAGTTTAATTATATGAGATATTATTATGTTTAAAAAAAAAAGAGGTATTAATAGATTCGCCATATGTTCAAAATGACACTGTAGGAGAAGTGGCCCCTGTGATAAAGAAGAAATTTAGTCTTAAAGAGAGAGTAAGAAGACCCCGGGATTGAATAGCCGAGCTTGCTAAGTGTGAAATAGTACTAATTATCCTCTCTAAAGAAATTCATCATCAATGAGGTCTGCTGCTCTCTTTTACACATGTTTGGTTTCTCACCTGTCTTTGTTTCCCTATTATTCTGCCTGAAAGTCTGAAACCGAGGTTTGAGCAATGAAATGAAAGTTTTAGAATCAGTCTTAAATTTGCTTGACTCTAAAACTTTGCAATGAAAGTTTCTGGTTTGAGCAATTCCTCAATTCTGGGTAAATTAGCAAGAAATAAATTGAATGTAATTCCAATTCCACATGGAGCAATTCCTGAACCAAAAGGTCAAGACCTTGATTTTGTGAATGTAGCACATAGCCATCTTATACACTCTGATCGGGAAAAATTGGAGAAATTATCAAGTGGTTTTACCCCATTTAGATTTAAGCATGTATTGTTGAAGATTAAGAAGGATTATGTTCTTTCTTATGAGTTTTATAAATGGGTTCAGCTCAAATACCCTAAGTTTCACAACCTTGAAACTCATGCCATGATTCTCCATGTTTTGACCAAACACCGGAAATTTAAGTCTTCTCAATCGATTATGAAGGATATACTGAGTTCGCGGCGGTCTATTTATTTGCCAAGTCAGTTGTTTCAGGCTATATTGAACTCGTATCGATTGTGTGATTCGTCTCCTCTTGTGTTTGACTCGCTTTTTAAGACGCATGCCCATATGAAGAAGTTTAGGGATGCTACCGCGACCTTTTGCCACATGAAGGATTATGGGTTTCTTCCTACAATAGAGTCTTGTAATGCTTACATGAGTTCATTGCATAGTTTGAATCAGGAAAAAGTTGCATTGGCTTTTTATAAGGAGATTCGGAAAAATGGAATTTTGCCAAATGTTTATACTATGAACATGGTTATTTATGCTCATTGTAAGCTTGGTAGTTTGGAAAAGGCCTTGGAGGTGTTTCAGGATATGGCAAGTATGGGTATCTTTCCTACTGTAGCATCACATAATATACTTATTTCTGGGTATTGCAATAAGGGCCTCTTCACCTCTGCCGTGAAGCTAAAAGCCTTGATGGAAAAGAACGGATTGAAGCCGGATAGTGTCACTTTTAACACCCTCATCAATGGATTTTGCAAGCAAGGGAAATTGCATGACGCGAACAAGGTTTTTAGTGAGATGAAAGCGGCACGTGTGCCTCCAAATACTGTAACTTACAATACGTTAATAAATGGGTATAGCCAGTGGGGTAATAGTGAGATGGGATATGAACTTTATGAAGAGATGCTGAAAGATGGGGTGAAGGTTGATATGGTGACGTATAATGCTTTGATATTGGGATTCTGCAAGGAGGGCAAGACTAAGAAAGCAGCCATTATGGTTAAAGAAATTGACAAGCAGAATTTAGCCCCAAATTCCTCAACCTATTCTGCTCTTATTTTAGGGCAGTGCACGAGAAAGAATTCTGAACGTGCATTTCAATTGTACAAGAGTATGATAAGAGATGGTTGTTATGCAACGAGTAATACATACGAGATTTTGATCTCTTCTTTCTGTCAGAATCGTGATTTTGATGGAGCAATTCAGGTTCTGAGGGAAATGCTAGGGAGAAGTATGGTTCCTGGTCCTGAAATTCTCTCTGAGTTGTGCAATGGGCTTTGCCAAAATGGAAATGAAGATTTGGCTGTAAGCTTGCGCAATGAGGTGGAAGCTAGATGTCGTAGCTGAGGCTGAGGGGTTCTGGAGTTACCTCAAGGTTTTATTTGAAGTCTGAAACAAATGGCTTTACAGCCTTCACCTGATGAGTTCCACTTTTGAGGTTTGCCACAACATGTAAACAAATACCTCTCTTCTGTTACCTTTGCTCTTATATTTTTTTCTGTTTTTTTTTTTCAATTTTTTTTTTAATTACTTTGATATAGAAGTTGAAATTTAATAATCCATCTAAAATTCTGCAAGAGAATGAAACACTTCTGCAGTTCTGCTTTGTGATGTAGGCTGTTTGGGATAAATGCTTCTGCCGTTTGCCTGCTTTAATGTAACCTGCAGTCAGGCATTATATATGATATCTGTGAGTAAATTAAACATACTCACCCATGACATTGGGATAGTTTGGTGTGGCAGGAGACGGATGTTGAGAAACTGCAGCAAAGGGATTATTCAAATCTTAAGGTGGGTCGAATGGTGTAAGTTAGATTACACAAATTCTGTTTTCTTGTTGATTTAATGTGCTTTGAATTGTGAACTATATTTGTTCTCTACAAGATTTAAAATGAAAACTAAAATTGGCAGGATGCTAGTCTTTTGCGCTTTTTTGTTGACATGCGAGGTGCTGATGTTGATGACCGCCAGGTAATTTTAAAGCTTGATTATTTTTTGTTTCTTAATTTCTCAATTTTTAAAATTTGAATCAATCCAAGGCCCATGCATTTAAGCAACCCAAGTTCATTTAGGTGGTTCATATTTCAAACTGGCATGTGACATGTATGTCTGTGCATTGAATGAGCTTTTTTTTTTTTTTTTTTTTAACTGCTGATAGCTTAGATTTAATATCATCATCTGTTATTCTTAGGATCCTACAAATATTTAGTTTTGGAAAGTAGGTTTGAGGAATCCTTCAGCATATGTTTGCTTTATCTGTTTGACAGCTTAGGGATGACCTGATGACAATGCTAATCGCTGGACATGAAACTACAGCTGCTGTTCTTACTTGGTCTATTTTCCTTCTTTCTCAGGTATGATTGACCTATATAATCTTCCATAGGCAAAAAATATTTGACACTGGATCCTAGTCTTGTTTTTGTCCCTTTTCTTTGCCATTGGTGCTGGGCTTAATTTTGCTTTTGGTGCAGAATCCTTCCAAAATGAAGAAGGCTCAAGCTGAAATAGATGCAGTATTAGGCAAGGGAAGAGTAACCTTTGACTCACTTAAAAAATTGGTGTATGTACCAAGTCACCCTCTTATACACTTATGTCAATGATATTGCTATGGGATAAATAAGTGCTGAAGAAAAATAGGTTTCAATTGTGACATTAAAGTTGTCCCACCGGGGTAATTGGAAACTTGATACAATTTACTGTATTCTATGATATCAGGTACATTAGACTTATTGTCGTAGAATCTCTTCGGTTGTATCCTCAACCTCCTTTGCTCATCAGACGATCTCTCAAACCAGATACATTACCAGGTACTTCTGTTAAGTGCTCATATAAAAGTGAAGTAGCTAGCTCCCAAAATTTTACTTTCCCCAATTCTTGTCACTAATGAGATATAGGTTGTAGTGTCCAGAACATATTATGTATTATTAAATAGATACTAGTGAAGTATTATCTTCTAGCCACTACTCGTAACATTACCTGCTACTGATAATCACACTTAGTAAAAGCATGTAATTTACCCTGCTTTGGGAATGTGGCTTAGATGATTATCGCCCCAGGACCTAGAGTATCTCTTTGAAAAGAAGCTAAGAAAGGCCTCATAATTATCGAATTTGGCTGTACTGAAATCAATTTCTGATTGTGCAGGAGGCTACAAGGGTCAAAAAGATGGATACAAGATTCCCACTGGGACTGATATCTTTATTTCTGTAAGTGGGTCAACTTATCCTCATAATATATGTGAATTACGAAATGTCTTTACATGGAAGTTTCCGTAGCTTAAAACCTTTTGAAAGTCTCCATAGCTGGTATCAAGTTAATCGTTACTAGTCAATCATATGCTATAATTGCTAGTCCTCTACAAATGTAGGTTAGGCTTTACCCACGTCAATACTTCTTTACCTGATCATGTTAGTGGCTGCCCGTCTTTAGCACAGCAGACTTTTACTCCCTTCGTCAAGGGTTACGTAACTTACATATAATACTTAGATGTCTCACAAAGTACCTGCCCAAATTATCTCAGTACCTTTCACTCTCTATCTCTACTCCGTTTCTCAATGAAACTTAACTAGTAAAATATATGAAGGGACCTGATGAATTTAAACTTAACCTAAAGATATTAACCATATATGCATAAAAACTTTCCGTGTAGGTATATAATCTTCATAGATCTCCATATTTCTGGGATAAACCTGATGAATTTGAACCAGAGATTTTTAGTCCAGAGAAAAAGTGAAGATATAGAAGGATGGAATGGCTTTGATCCATCTCGGAGTCCTGGAGCTCTGTATCCTAATGAGGTAACTTGATGTTGCTGGATCGTCAAATCCATTCATTTTTCTCTAGAGCATTCACTAATTAATCGTTTGCACTTGCAAATATCAGATTTTGCTTTCTTGCCTTTTGGTGGTGGACCGAGAAAGTGTGTGGGAGACCAGTTTGCTCTAATGGAATCTACAATTGCTTTGGTCATGTTGCTTCAGAAGTTTGATGTTGAATTGAAAGGTTCGCTAGATGCAGTGGAACTTGTGACAGGGGCAACAATTCACACCAAGAATGGACTTTGGTGCAAACTGAGAAACAGAGCTAATGTACAATAAATTTCGAGTAACAGCTCATATAATGCAACTTGCACCTTCTAGTGAGATATTTTGTAAAAATAGTGTACATCATAATCTAGTTTATTTGGAATACTATCTGTTGACTTAAAAAATGTTGACATTCAGCCTAGCCAAAACCTATAAATAAAATATAAGTATGGAGTATTGATTATTTAGAGCCACAAACAAAAAACATCTTTATTTTTACAATTCTTCTCAGAAACAGCACAACTGGATTAATATCTAAAATCAAACAGAGGATGACAGTAGGTTTGAGGATGCCAGAAAGAGCATATCACACAGTACAAACAATGTGGCATATTATGTTGGCTCAATTGAGGAGCGTCTTCACGATGGACTTGACGTTCAATTTCATCAAGTCAGTGTAAGACTGCCCACAGCCAACAAACATCACAGGAGCTCCAGAGATGTAAACCATGGACAAAGCAGCTCCAACCTAAATAATTCCATCAATTAACCATGTCAGGAAATGGAATCAAGAGTTTCTATTGATCAAGTGAAATAATATACGAAGTATAACTTATACTTCGTAATACATACAAAATACGAGAGTACAAAATAAAATGAAACAAAATCATATCATGCCACATACTCCCCCACAATCTCACAAAAAGTCTTATACTGAGTTCTTTTTTATTCTTAAGGGGTAGTTTAAAGCTTTGGCAGGGAGGCAGGATATAATATTGATACCCCCAAAACACTGGAATGGAATCAATCCAATTCAATTCATTCTGTTCCGAATTAGCCCAATGCCCCGACCAAACGCTATATGACATGCTTTGACAAAAGATCCTTTATTAGTCAAGTCATTTCTATCCTCTTTGGCTCTTCTCATAACTTAGTTTTAGTAGTGGCATATTATTAATTCCAATATATATCCGTTCTTATTATACAGGGTGACTATTTTTTCTGCAATCCTACAGAAATGTGACTCTACATTCAGCCGGAGGAGTGTGCACAAGTATATATGCAGTATGATTGGCACAGTGAGATGTCAGAGGATGATAAAGGGCCTACCTTGTCATCGATGGTGTCAAACTTGGTAAGGAGGATGCCATCAATCAATCTTGGATTTGGTGAGTTTCAAAGATCAGCAAGTTTCTGCATCAAAGTAACAGATGATGATCAACTTTCAAGGAAAATCCAAACAAAAAAGTAAAGGATATAGAAGGCAAAATAATGGCCTCACAATTAAATCCCAGTACAAACCTGATTGATTTTTGAGAGCTGATCCACAGCTTCATTACCAACAAGCGCTTCACCGACAAAAAGGACAAGATTCGGATTGTTAAGGTTGATAAGCTTTGAGAGTGCACGCATCAAAGGTTCATTGTCCTGCAAGACAACCCCCAAACGTTAAAGATAGAACACAAGAGAGTAAACAAAACAAGAGAATTGTCAAACATGATACACAAAAAAGATTGATGGCATCCTTTATTTTTATATATATATATATAGAAATAGGATCATGTGAGAACACATTCCTTATGTGAGAACACTTTATATGTGAAAACACTTTATAACCATTGGATCAAACAAGATCCAACGCTCCACATCTATCCCTGTCAAAATAATGGCATTACTGTAAATTTTAGATTGTATATAAGAAAAATTAAAAAAAAAAATTGTCCAGCCTTTTCTCTCTCTAGATATTGATCTAGGTCTTGCCTTTCTCTCTCTTCTTTCCCCAAAAATTTCTGAACGAACACTGCTTCGATCATAATGTTGAGATATCTTTGAATTTCGACTTGAATCTACAACTATAGTTAGGTATTTGCTGCTTTAATTTATTTTTTTTTTTGATATTTGGCTTCAATTGTTCAAATTTTGGTATTGAATAAGGTTTTTGTAATTTTGTTGAAACCCTAGAAATCGCGAATCCTTCATCAAATGGATTCAACCGAAGCTATTGTTACATATGAACGAATGATGTAAGTACCAATTTATTGATTTACTAGCATTAAGTTTTCTTTAGTGACCTTGATTTGTTTTCTCCATGATGTTGTATGGTAAATTTTTATTAATTCTTTCTTTTTGCTTTTGATAATCAGGTATATAGACTATGGATAAATATCATGTCTCATGTTGCATCTCAAATTCTGGCTAGATTGATGTTTAATTGGAAACGTTATTTTCATTCTCTATTTTATACTCCTGTTTTGGATATATGATGCACCAAATTTTTTTTTTAAAAAAATAGGACACTTGATTAAATTTATAGAAGTGCTCCTGCCCAAAAAAAAAAAAAAAAAAAAAAAGAAATACATCACTTTTATGTGATTTTTAGTAGTTTGTATCATGTGATGATTGTACGAAGCAATTTTATGAGATTCTGATTTAATATTGTTCATTTTCTGGTTAGCTGACAAAATCTTCTTAAGATGTAATCGTTGTCTGGTGGCTCACATCACATTGGCTGTTGCAATGCAAATGTTCAGGTATAAAAGCTGGAGATTGTGAATAAAGACGCATCGGCTTCTAGCGTTGCAGATTCTATTCATAATATTTGGTGTTTCCTTGGCTTGCAGTCTCAGACGCGTCCTAGTCCTGTAGGGCCACCAAATCGACTGCTCAGCCTGCTGGACCTGGCCCTGCTAAAGGATGGTGTGTGCCTAACAGGCCACTAATGCACAACTGCAGTCCAACATCAATTACGTCTGCAGCCAAGGAGTTGATTGCAAACCCATTCAACCAGGTGGTGCTTGTTACAACTCAAACAATGCTAGGGCTCACGCGACCTATGCCATGAACACATTTTACCAGACAAATGAGCAACTGATTTTTTGCTCATTTGTCAAATGAGCAATTATTTTTTGCTCATTTGTCAAATGAACAAAAAAATTCAATGCTCCTTTGTCAAATGAGCAAACTATTTAATGCTCATTTTTCAAATGAGCAATTAATTTTTTGCTCGGTTGTCAAATGAGCAATTATTTTTTCCTCATTTGTCAAATGAGCAAAAAAATTCAATGCTCCTTTGTTTCATGAGCAAACTGTTTAATGCTCATTTTTCAAATGAGCAAATGATTCTTGCTCATTTTGTCAAATTAATGCTCATTTGTGAGTGTGTTTGAATGTTTTAAATACGTTAGCCTACTAGCTCAAGGGTAGAGCATTGTGCAACTGCACAAAAGATGTGGGTTCGAATCCCACGTAGGTTCATTTATGTAATGTGGAGACATAAGTTTGTATGAGAGTTTAATTGTAACAAAGTTTATATAGTTATAAATCATTTCAAACCATTTTTTTGCTCATATAATTAGTACGAATTTGATTTTTTTTTTTATAATTAATTTTGTTTATAAAGATAACCTATGTAGGAATTGAACATACATCCCCTATGCATTTGCATAATGCTCTACCAATTGAGCTAATAGGTTCACATTTGACATGTTGCAAATTTAAAATCCAACTACACTACAAATAGGAAATCTCAAGGTTTTAGCTTTAACAAAAGTGATTGCTCGTATAGTCGTACTATGTTAACTGCTATATAGGAAAGCACAGCCATATGGATTTCCTGTAATTTACCGCGTGTACATCAACAGAAACCACGTTCCAAAACACATACCCCTTATGCCATTCGCACTAGAATCACTATTACACTGTTCGTTGTTGCTAATCATTTCTGCAGAATATTACAAAAAACAAGTTAAGAACATAATAAATTAGAAATTATAGCTTTAGTTATATTTGCTCATTTTTATTATATTTTCTCATTTTAATTCTATTTTGCTCAATAACAAGTCAATAACACAATAAAAGATAAAACATAATAAGAGAAGAGGGGGAGTAGTAGAAGGGTGGCAGTAGTAGCAGGGGGGCAGAATATGGGGTTGAATAGCAGAAGGTACACTATGTTCTACACTACAAAGTATGATATGTAAGAACTCCCAATTCAAACCATGTGAGATAATTTTACTACTAATCATAAAAAACACTATATTTGTGCAACAAAAAGTGAACAAATAATCAACTTTGCTGCCTATAACAGATCATATATGATATATTTGCTGACTATGATATATTTGATTTTTATTTCTCACCATCTTCCTTACACCATACCATCACCACCACCACTACCACCACCAAACTCTCTCTCCTTCCTCTGCCCCTGCACCCTACCACCACCACCAGCATCACCACAACCTGTCTCACTGTCACTCCCTGCCACCGTCGCTGTCCCCTGCACCCTACCATCACTAGCTTATTTTCCTCATTTGCTCATTTTTATATTTGCTTATTTTTTTTTTTTTTGTATTTGCTCATTTTAATTATGTTTGCTCATTATACATATTTAGGAAATGAGCAAATAATTGAATGCTCATTTATCAAATGAGCAAATAACCCAGTGCTCATTTGTGAAATGAGCAAATTTTTGTATTTGCTCATTTTAATTATGTTTGCTCATTATATTTTTTCTATATTATTTCACATATTTAGGAAATGAGCAAATAATTGAATGCTCATTTATCAAATGAGCAAATAACCCAGTGCTCATTTGTGAAATGAGCAAATAAGTATTTAGGAAGCACAACCCCAACAAAACAAACTATCCTAGCAACATCAACAAGATGAAACAATTATACTCAAATTTAAAATAAAAACACAACAATATGGTCAAGAAGTCATAACTTAAAGAAAGTGAACATGTACAATTTCACCATAGACCAAATCATCAAAAACTTATCCCATCTAAATATGCTCACACAATGTCACCAATTTCACATTTTTTTTTTCATTTTTATTTATAACCACAGTTTAAATTTGCTCATTTTTATATTTGCTCTTTTTTTTTTTTTTTTTTTGCTCATTTTAATTATGTTTGCTCATTATATTTTATCTATATTATTACACATATTTAGCTTTGCTCATTTTCAATTTATTTGCTCATTTTAAATTTGATTGCAAATAAGAACTTAATAACATAGGAGCATAATAACATCATTCGTAAATAAGAACATAATAAGAACATTGTACTGAATATGCTGACCATAAATATAGTACTAAATTTGATTCAGAATAAAAATTAAGCCATTGTCAATGATTGTACAACTCATTTTTTTGAATAACTCAAATAATGCTTCAATTTCATTCACCATAAGCTCAAAATCAAATTCGAAAACTAGATCCACAAAAAATTAAAATTAAATGAAAATTCATCAAATTCCGGAAACTTACATTGAGATTCACAAGCAAGGCGAGTGAGGTCGGTGTGAACTTGCTTATGATTCCGGAAACAATCGTCGATCTTCAATTTTTAATCTCCATTGTAATCCCACCTTCAAGTTGTTTTGAACTTATCAAAAATGGAAGAAGATGATTTGAAATTATCAAAATTACAAAAATCAGAACAAGAAGTTTGGGAATTCAATTGAAATTATCAAATTAAAATCAAATTAAGAGAAATTCGAATAAGAGAAATCAATTCGGAACTTGAAATTATGCAGGAGTGAAGAAGAGGAGAGAGAAATCCCACCTTCAAGCTTTAAAGAGAGAGAAAGAGGAGTATATAAATTGTACATAATTTGGGTTTTGGGGGTTGATTTGTTTGTTTTAAGAATTACATTATTGTCATTATTAGTTGAACAATCTCAGCTGTTGGATTAATACAATCTAATGGCTGAGATTTGTTCTCACATGTAGGATGAGTTTTCACATGGAGGTGGTTCTTACCGGATCCCGACCCTATATATATATATATAATTTCAACCACCAGACTGAAACAAATTGGACAGTTGTGATTAAATCTGGAAATTAAATTCATTGAACCCAAAAAACAAAAAAAACTTTCGTTTCTCTCTCCTCTTTCTCACTGATAATTTCTTCTTTGTCCTCAAACATTTTTCAGGTTTCCTCACCTCAATCATCTACTCAAAAGTCAGGAATTTGCTACAATCTACACCATTCTTGAACAATATTCTAATTTGTTGCAAAATTTCTTAATTATAGAGGTAAGCATTGTAAATTTGGTGTATTTCGATTTTTAGGGTTTAATTTTTTTTTTCTTACTATAATCGGATCTTATATCCTATCAATTTAGAGCATACATTTACAACTTCGTCAATAATTTGCTATGTTTCTGATTCGTTAGGATCATATATCCTATCGATTCTGATAATTTTGGCGAATTCACTTATATTCAATTCCTGAAATTTGGTATTTGTTTTTAGCTGTTTTTTTTTTTTAAAAAAAAAGAAAAAAAGAAAGTGTTTTTAGTTCGTCTCTTCAGCAGCAGCACTAATGGCGGAGAAAGGTGCAAAAGGGTTTTCTCTTGGCAAAGGAGCAGGTTATTCCTCTTTATTCACTCCCTCTGTGTCTTTCCTATTTTCTCTTCTTCTTATAAATTTGACGATTCCAATTTAGGGTTTTTCATTTCTTTGAATTAGGATTCAATTTTTCAACTTTTTTCCCCTAAATGGGAAATAAATGCAAAATTGCCGTTAATTTTAAGCAATTCTTTATGCTGCAGATTTTCGGAATTCAGAACCGTCAAAATATTTGCTATGATTTATATAAAAATGCCAACTTTATTTAGGGTTATAATTTTTCATCAGTGTAATTTGTATTTCTAATTTAATTTGGGATGTTTGTTTCCAAAGTATACCATCAGTGATAGCTGGGATTAGGGAAGTTGAGGCAACTTAGTGATTGGAACTTAAATTTTATATCTTTGTTTTGTTGGAGTACAAATTTGAGTGATTGGGTTTTATTAATCTGAAATAATGGGTATGGTTTGATTTGTAACTTGATAGAAGTAGGATAAAATGAATTGACACATGTAGGCTGATTGCCTTCATACCTTAAGAGTCTCGGCATGTAAAGGCATGTAGTAATCTAAGATGATAGATGATATATGTATAGCACTACGAGCACGCCGTGAAGTATAGCTTTTGTTGAATGATAGATGTATTTATTTTCATGCAACAACCTAATGTAGTGATGATCATGCCTACATTGCAACATGTCAATTGGATTTGTCTCAAACTTTTACCCCTTTTAGCTCGAGAGCCTACAGCAAGATTAATGGTTGTGCTTGTGCCCACCTCTATGGCTCTACCAAGGCCCATGCACACTGAGATCATTGATCATAGTATGCATATGTGTGTTATGCCTTTAAGTTGCATGTTTGATTGTTTCGTGCTCGTAATATAATGTTATGCATATTTTAAATTTAATTCATATCAAAACATTTTGTGGATGCTATTCCATGTTGTGGATAGAAAAGATGCCATTAACATGTTCTTTCTTGCAGTGCCCTTAAAAGGAAAGGATGATGACTCCACAAAATTAAAGAAGGGAAGGAAAGTGCAGTTCGAAGATGAAGGTACTATCCTCTTCTCTTGCTAATCTACACTATGAATAATTTCCTTACTTTCAACCTCAATGTCAGTTCTTTTTAGGTTCTGTTGTCGACTTATGATGATATGTGTACCTTTTGTAGCCATCTGCTTTTATATGTTAGTAGTCATAGTTTATCCTTTATAGCATTAGCTGGCTATGTTAAAGAGTGTTTGAATCTTTTTGCCTTGTGTGTAATGTGGTTCTTTCTTGATAGATGGAAATATCTGAGACTCTGAGTCATCTTCTATTTTTGGCTTTTATTTTTCTTTGATGAAGCTGATACTGCCTAATTGTTGTATTAAGTGTTATATGTGCATGCTTAGTAGTAAGTTTATTTGTTGAACATTTTTTGTAATTACTTGTTTTTTTGGTGGCAACTTCTTGGCATTATCAAGAGTCCCCTGCAAACTTTTCATCAAAATCTGGTGGAAAGGGTGAACCTTTGAAAGGAGGGAAGGGCTCTACTCGAAAAGAACCGGCTAAGTATGAACTTAATGTTCAGTCAGGTTTGTAATTTCTGTTTGACACTTTTAATATGGTGTTCAACCAATTATTAAATTATTTACCCTTTGCTCTTTAAGAGTTTAAGTGCATACTATTCCTAGACTTCCTGGTCTAGAAGTTAGAAGTAATCTTTAATGTGCAGTCAGATGACAGAATTGGGCTGCTTGTCCGGAGTAAATTAAGCAACCTTTTATGCATACCTAGATTAATTTATGGTCCTCTGCAAAAGGAAGCTATCTCTGATCAGGTGTTTGATGCTATATGCTCCTTTTATAGTTGTTCATCTTTAGCTAGTAATTGAAGAGCTTGAAGAAAGGTCGAGAAGAAGGGGTTGAAATATGGAAAGAGCACATAAGTTTATTGAGAGGCAGAGAAGCGATAGGAGGAAATAGATAGGAGACTAGGAACTATATTACTTGTACTCTTTATTTCACCTCTAGTACTTGTGTCGGCTCCTCGACACTTAGACTTGGATTATTGGGTAGGATACTTTGTAACATATTTATCTTGCTCCTAACCCGAATTCATTTAAAATGTATAGATATCTTGCTATCTGATTGGGTCTCTCACAAAATTAGGTGTTTCTAGGTTGCTTTGTTATTCCAATCTTCCATGTTCAACACCAAATAGTCAGAGGGAGTACCTAGTACATATCTGCTACCCGCTTTTTCTTATACCTGTAGCTGAATGTCTTTCACTTTGTTGGCTCAGACCCTCTTAAAATATGATAAAGTGAGGGGCCTTGGAAATTTGGCCAACAATGTAAAAGCAGTCACAGAATCTTAAATTAAATTTGCTGTGTCTACATGTGTTGGAAATGCTAATATCTTCTGCTTGAGTTCATCTGCTGTAAAGATCATCCCCTGGCTGGCTTACAGGAAAAGAATAATGCTTTATTGCTTTGGGAGGAGCCTTGGACCTTCAGCTATTCTCATAAGATAATTTAGGGTTAGGATCTCTGTAGAGTATGTTGCAGAATTTATTGAGAGCAAGTACACCACCATTTTATTGAATTATATTCTTAGACAATGAATTAAGAAGGCATTGTCACCTTGTCCTAGACTCCTAGTCATTGAGAGGTCTAGAAAAGGATATTATACATTAATCTGCAACAATTCCGTGATACCACTTTATGTACCATCACTGTGATGGAGGTTACCCTGTTAACAGCTGCAAACAAATTTTTAAAAATTGGCTCACCACACCATTCTTCATGCTAAAATGGTATTCTTAAGTAACTTTTATTAAGTGTACCATAAAATTAAAACACTCTAAATTTGATAGCATCTTTCTAGACTAACACTCCTGGATCTTGATATGTTCCAACTAATTTAAATACTAATGGTGATGGTGAATGAAGGCATTAAGTAAATGGGTAGAGTGTATAGATTGGAAAGAAACTTAGATTTTAATCTTATCATCCTTTTTCTGGAACTTTTTAATAATAGGAGCTCCAGGTTGAAGTTTTAAATACATAGTAGAGTCAATCTCGCTTCTGAAAGTGAAATGTCCCACTGTTGGGACCTTATCTGTTGCCTATTAAAATCATCTACTCAGGCTTTATTATAAGGCTAATTGTTGCTTTGAAAGAGTGATGTGAACAGTGGAAATTTCTCTTGGGCTTTCAAAGGATTGAAATATCATATGCAAGCTCCAAACTTTGATTTGGGGGAACACAAAACCCTTGGAGGGTGAGCTCAGTTCGAGGGAAGTGAAAGGAAAAGTTATTAGAGGGGGAAGGAGGCAAAGAAAATAAACATAGAACCATATATTACAGTAAAAAATTATTCGAGGGAAGGAGGGAAAGAAAAAAAAAACACAGAACCATATATTACAGTAAAAATTATTTGAGGGAAGGAGGCAAAAAAAAGAAAATAAACACTCGAAGTGAAAGGACATTATCAATTCCCTTTCCCTTCTAGAAATCCTTTAACCAAACAGCGCCTAATTAATATTGTAGGATTTTTTTTTTTGGTTGTATGATTTGTCAGATTGTTGGTGTATGCTTTAGAAGATTTCTTTGCAGCTACTTCATTGATACTTCATGCTAATTAATTTGTTGCTGCTCTCTTCCACTTATCCCATGAAACTTAATGTAGTAAGTGAGATATGGTTCCTTGGTTTTAGGGGGGATTGCTTGTTTAAAGTTTCTGTGATCAGAAGAATTGTATCCATTTGGTTTAGGGGAACTTTTTTCTTCTTCTTATTATTATTAGTATTAAACATGCTACTTATTTGTATGTCCATTTGCATTATTGTTAATGATTTTTATATATTTCTCCTATTTGTTTGCCTGTAGAGCTTCCAAAGAACTCCCAATGTGTGATGGATTGTGAGGCAGCTGACATCTTGCAAGGAATCCAGGAGCAAATGATTTTTCTCTCTCGTGATCCAACTGTCAAACTTCCTGTGTAAGAATTCACTTTCATATATGGTCTTAGAGTTACATAGAGTGGAGAGGGGTGGGTGAGGGGCTATATTTGGCTCCTCAAATGTTGCTGTCAAGATTAGTGGATATTACATAACCTCTAACAAGTCTTTCATCAGTTCATTTGACAAGGGATTACTATATGCCAAAGCTGGAGGACGATATTCGAATCCCAAGGCTGTCAGAAAGGCTCTCGGGTATCCTTTTACAAGTCTTTCATCAGTTTATTGTATTGTAATGTAATGACTCTCAATTGTTAAGCCCTTTAACTCATCAAGCAGGACTCTCAAGAAGTATGGAGTTTCTGATGGAGAGGTTAGTCACAAACTTGGTGAATTGGTAATTGAAAATGTATTATTTCACTAAAGATAATTCCTCCTATTGCAGATATGTGTCATTGCCAATACTTGCCCTGAGAATGCTGAAGAGGCTTTTGCCTTGGTCCCTTCCCTGAAGGTATGTTGCATGCAAGTTATTTGATTGGAGATTCGCATTTGTGTTAGGGTTACTCACTTACCTTCTTCGACCCTAAAGGCCAAGAAAAACAAGATCAATGAACTACTTGAAGAGGTCATATCTCAGCTGGTTACATTGAAATTGCCAACAGAACCATAGAGAGTAGAAAGGGGAGGTATGTTTGTTTTGCTTTCTGCAGTAGAATTTGTTCCACCATACCACCGATAATGCTCTAGCTTAGTGCTCGACTCAAACTTAGTGGAGCATTGTGACTGGTGAAACTGGGATGTCTTGTGATTACTATCTTATAAATTATTGTATCTACTTTTGCAGATGCCAAGCCCTTGCAGCATGTCGAAACTACATGATATGCATCAACTTACATCACTACCCTTACTTGGCCTTTGTTAGTTGGTTTTGTATAGGTCTTAATTTTGTAAGAACGTTTTTCAGTGTAGTCTGTTAATTGATGTCAAACTGTAACATGTAAATCCTAACTGTATGAACCTATCTACTTTTGAGTTTCAATGCTCTCCTTAACTGCTGATCTTTAGTCAATATCCATCTGTGTGCCAATTACTTGCTACTATTCTGTTACTACTCTTTGACCCTTTATTACTTCTGCGACCTTGCTCAGGGACGAGGTACCCTCAGGTCAATCGCTTAGTGTGTATACATTGCTGATAATTAATACAACCTCCGCTTTTATTTAGTTGGCACCTTATTTTTATCACGCTTGTCAATGCGCTATTCTAAAGATTAATATCTCTAATTCTCTAACATTGTAAAATAATAAAAAGTAGATATTAATAAAATAGACATTGAGACAATTTAAACAAGTAATCACTTAACTATGTTTTATCGTAGCTATAAATCACAAAATCTAGTCAAGGTGTAGTTTATGAATAGTGTAAAAGTCAAATGGTGTAAACTTAAAAAAAACAGAGGTAGTAGTCATTAGAATATCTTATTCAAACTCTGAAACGGCAGTAATAAAAGAAGCAAACATGACATAAGCCACTAGGCAAGTGTGGCTTTCCCCGACTGCCATAACTTGTAAGAGATGATATGCTTGGCTTTGTGTTTAAGACAACGACTGAATTTTACTTCCATTATGCTGTCAGGAGCATGAATGAGTGGCGAAGATTTTATAGCATATACGAGTATCAAATTTCATTACTACTGTTAGAATTATAAACAGCCAAAGGTAGGCATCACAATCCACGGATAAGAGTTTACAACACATCAACTCCAGTAGTAATATAGTCGCATGTATATCAGCATTGGCAAATGGCAACAAACACCATAACAAGCCCTATACACAGTCGAACTATCAGAAACAGATGTTGGGAAGGGAGAACAAAAAAAAGGTTGAAACATGACAAGATTTCACCAACTGCGGAGCTTAGTAGACTGGCCCTGGGACTGGGAGCAATCCCTTGCCCAATGTCCAGCCTGGCCACACTTGTAACAAGTACCAGATGATTGGTTTCCTATCACACCAGCAGCTACATTTGATGTAGTTGTAGGGCAATCTTTTGCCCAGTGCCCTTCCTGGCTGCATTTGAAGCAGGATGAACCACTTTTCATGCCATAGCTTCTGTTGTCAGTGGCTTCGAACTTCTGGTTTCCTATCGCACCAGCAGCTACGTTGGATGTAGTAGTAGGGCAATCTTTTGCCCAGTGCCCTTCCTGGCCACATTTAAAGCAGGACGAACCACTTTTCATGCCATAGCTTTTGTTGTCAGTGGCTTCAAACTTCTGACCATAGCTGGCGTTTGGTGCAGTAGTTCCTTTATCAAAGTCGTTCCATGATCTTGTAAACCCAGAAGCTGCCTGTGAAAATATTTTTGACTGACCACATTAATAAACTTGAAAAGCAAGTCAGAAGTTTTATTTTACACACAACATATTTTTCGGTGACAGCAAAATATAGTAGAATTTAAGTACTAATACTCAAATATATTGCCAGAAGATGATATTCCTTGGATGGCACCAAACAAAATCAGCAACCACCCCCCCCCCCCCTCCTCTTCCCTACCGTAGTCTAGAGGACAACAGGACATCCATCAAACCCAAAATATGCAGCTTTAAAACCAAGCAGAACGACAAAATTACAAACTGTATTTCACGCAAATCCAAATCCTGAAATGAAGTTTTTACAGAATCCAATTGGAAATCCTCAAATAATGACCAGCACAACAAAGTTCATGACGGCTATATAAATAATCTAGTTTCCTGAGCAGAATCCATAGATATTTAGCATTCACATGCTAGAATGATACACTTTAATACTCCATACAAGTATCTAATAAACATTTTGTTTATGGATGTAGAGGATCCATTGTTATTGTCAACTTATAAATGATCAAATAGAGATTTTTAACTACTACATTACCTCAAAAGAAAGAATTAATTCTAGAAAATGAAAAGGAATACAAGGTAGGTAGTTAACCAGAGAAGGGAAGGCAAGGCAAGTACATCTGAGCAACCAAACCAAGATTGCAAAGGCACTAGGAAGCTATCATACGAATAAAAAAAAAGGTAAAAGACATAGCTACATGCCTGAAGTCATTAATCTAACGCATACAGACATTAGCATAGCCCAAAAGTACCTGGTTAGGCTGGTTAGTAGGGCGCTGGTAGAATTGCTGCTGCCCTCCATTCTTCCAAGCCTTATCTGCTGATGCAAAAACAGTAAAATTACTGTAAGGATATATGAAGTTCAAGAGCAACAACGGCCACAAAATGTAAATCCTACCTTCAGGAGAAGTAATTTTTTCAGATGATTCATCACACCACTCAAAAAACCCACAGCCACCATTCTCCTGCAAAAAAGAACCTAAATGTTAGCATCCCAACATTATTATAGTCACATCTAGGAAAAAAGAACCAATAATTATTAGAAGGTGTAAAGCAGTAAACTCAAAATATTCACCCACTGATGTAGGTTCATTCCACAATGCACCCTGTGTAATGGTTAAATAGCTATCTCTACTGCTCAACACGACAAGTTTGCATCAGAAAGTCTATAAAAGGGTTAGGAAGGGAACCGATACTCAGTAGCATACAAGAAAAAGAAAGCTCCCTACTACAAAGACAATGTATGGACTATATTCCACATAATTATGCATAGTAATCAAGACAGTTCCACATAATCAAGACAAGATTGATGTAAAGCAATCTTTCAAAGAGATTTGCAGCTAGCAAAACAACCAAAGCCCAAATTTCTCAAAAAAAATCCTAGTTACATAAGTTAGTCTTAGAGTCTCTTCTTTCCCTGGAGGTTGGATCATACAGACATACAGGACCTTGTAGCAATAGCAAATTCACAGTTGACTTTACCTGTCAAATGCATGACAATATAAAAGCTGCAAGCTCCTAATATGCTTGTTGGCTATGCCGTGAATCACATCAAGTTGGCATTTATACAATCAATCATAAGTACAGCTTTAAAATCCGGTTTTTCTTCTCTAAAAACACAGAATAAATTGCTGCCAAAGTTACCACATATATAAGCAATACAAACAATCACATAATGAGCTAGCTAAAGATAAAGGTCCGAGTAACAACCACTAGCATTAAAACATCATCTTTCTTCATTTGCAAACAATTCAATGCTTTCACCATCCACATTTTAAGAATTATTAGTCTTATTATTAACACACTGATTCATCCAAGCAACCAATACATCAACTCAAATACGGAATTAAACTTACTAAATTTCTAAAGTGGTCTATTGCAATTCACATCCAAAAACTAAAAATGATCAAATGAAATAACTTTTAAATAGTCTTAAACAAATCAATTCTCACTACAACCCCAATTTCACATCAAATCAAACTTGATAAAAACACAAATCACAAAATAACATAGAACAACAACTCCAATTCCAAAATCAAAATCCCTAATTAGAAATAAACTCACAAACCTGACGATTAGGGCAACGAAAGAACTTCCGACCGCGATTACGCTCCGTATTAGCAGTAAGAACCAAACAACTCCCCAATCCACAAGGACACGCCTTCTCAACCCCCACCACCGCCATCGACGGCGTCGCAACAAACCCAAAATTCACCCCAAACGACGTCGTTTGAGGACAATCCCTAGCCCAGTGACCTTCATTTCCACACTTAAAACAAGCACCGCCACCTCCGCCGCCTCCACCGCCGCCTACGGAGGATGTAACAGTCGACTGAGTGGCTCGGCTAATCTGCTGGTGTTTCTGCCATGTGAGACTCTTGCTTCCTTTGAGAGCAGCAGTGTAAGCTCCTTCTTCTTCAACTTCTTCGGCGAATAATGGTTTCTGTTTGTCCGATTTTGGTGTTGTATCAATGGCGATGCGCCGACGTTTGGTGGAGGAGGAGAAAGAGAGGGCTTGAGCTTCTGCTGCATCGAGTTGACATAGGAATTCCACGTCTTCTTCGTCTTCTGGGATTTGGATTATCGGTGTTTTGGAGTTCGCCATTGTTGTTCTTGGTAGCACTTTCTCTCTCTTCTTTTTTCCCGCCTTTCTGTAATTATCAATTATTAAATGTGATTAGTGTTCTCGTTTTCAATTTATTTTACCCGCGTTTTAATATGAGTCTAATGACGTATTCGACACTATCCGAAAATGTTTTATAACTGTACGTGAAACGAAGTGTTACGGAGTACCTGTGTTTTAAATAAACTACGGAGTAATGGAGTGATTAAACATACTTTTTTACAATATCAGTTTTTTGAGTTGATATGTTTCTAAATTTTATGATGAAATATTAATATTTATAGAATTATATTGAAATGATTCAAACAAAAACACACATGAATATGTTTTATCATTATTATAAATCACAAAAGGTAGTTAAAGTGAAGTATATGAAAAGTGACAAAAGTCAAAATGTATCCACTAAAAAAATGGAGGAAATATTAAACTTATTTTTACCTAAAGTAAAAGAGAAGTAGAGAACAATGGAAAAACTTTAAATCTTGAAAAAAATTGAGAAAATCTATAACTAAGGTCCCGTTCACTTCACCTTATTTTTTGCTTTTTTGTTGAACTGAAATTATTTTTACTGAACTGAAATTAATTAACTGAAATTATTTTTGCTAAACTGAAATTATTTTTACAGATTTTCTATTATATTTCTTCTTTAAAGATACTGAATTTTACTAAACTGAACTTATTTTTACTGAACTGAAATTATTTTTACTTAATATTATTTTTTTAAGGTGAAGTGAACAAGGCCTAATATTGAAGTAAAAACCGCTGACATCATTCCCTTCCTAAATTGTACACATTTCATACTCTCATAAAAAATTTCCCGCCTAAATGTATTGATGACATCATTTTATTAATTTTTTTTACTTTTTGTTCTAAATCCATCCATCTATTATGCCTAGAAAATAGTACAAAGTATTAGATATTTACTAATCTCAAATTAAGGACTATTCCCTTTCCCCCCAATTATTGAAACCTTACTACTTTTCTTCTTCCTCAATTGTGTTGTTTTGTGACCTCTTTCTTAATTTTTTATGCTTCCATCATTATTTCAATATTTAAATTTTCGCTAATTTTTTAATGTGTGCAATTATTGATTCTTTTATTTTATAATTTTGATTAATATTCAATGTAATACAATTGTTTTATTTCTAAAAGTTATTCAATTAATTGTAAGAAATTGTGATGCTTTTAAATTTGTAATTATTAATCAATTTGTGTTCTATTTGTTAAATCGTACATTGTACGGAAGCTAAACTAGTAATAGACTAAATTAATCCATTGCATCATTATATTTTTGTAATTCCAAAAAAAAAAAAAAAAAAAAAAAAAAAAAAGATGTATCCTTTCTAAAAAGAAATAACATGGGGTGATTAAGTAATTTGACAAAACTTACTACTCCGTATGTATTATGTACAAATTGCAAAATACTTTTATTCTGTAATGTTTTAGTGTATTAAAAGTCCATTGCATCAAATCATCAATAACAAGAAGGAAAAAGAAGTCAACCCATTCTAGATTAATCTTAATACTAATATAGATAATAAATCAATGGACAGTTTTGCAATCTATCTATAACTAATACTAAAATAACAACAATTGACATCATTCATTTATCCAAATTATACACGTGTTAGCTTCTCTTTCAATTTTTTCCCGCCTAAACTTTTTTTCTCTTTCTCATTTTTTTTCTCATTTTTTTATGGAAAAAACTAAATATTGACTATAAAATACAATACAGAATACTATACATTAAACTCTTCACAATTTTTGTAAATAAACCTTTTGACAACCCTTTAACCAATGAAACATTATTTTATGCTTTTTTACGAAGTATTGTTTTATATAACTCTCTTTTTTTCTTTATATCCGTGCATCGCAACCACTGACATCATATTTGTTCACATGGCAGCTTTACAAGAAAAGTTTTGCCGCCTAAATAAAATATAATGTCATTATACTTTTCTTTGGTTTCAAATTTCAAATTTAATTTCACCGCCTCTCAATTTATCTAGACTCTTTAATTTATTTATTTTCCTTCTACCACCAACTATCTATATCTAATGCATTTTTCCCTTATGCTTCATTAAATATATAAAGTACATTAAGTAATATGAATACATAAAAACATATACTCTATATTTCAAAGAAATTTTTAATGTTGTGCATCGCACAGGCTAATCTAGTGGCTACAATAAAATTGTAGCCACTACAAAAACAAAATCTACACCCTTAATTATCATTATGTAAATTAGAATCATTGATTTAAGTTGACCATTAAAATTCCAAAAAAAAATCTTTTAACTGTTTTTCCTTAATCCTCTACACAATAAACTACTCCATTGATGATTTTCTGCAAAGTATGAATCACAAAACAATCCACATAACATGAAATCCATCAATTAGTACAAGAATTATGAAGAGCAATAACTAAATAATTATGAACTGTATAATCATCCTATCCAATTATCCATGTAATTCGTATAAAACTATCCCATGTATAAAATCGTAATCCTTTTTTCAAGGTTAGTTGGCAGTTTTCCATTGAATGTTTGGTCATATTTTAAGCCTATCCAAGTTAATTGTTCCTCCATACCTATTTAATGGAGATTTAGGTTACGTTGAAGGTTGAATACTGTTAGAAAATTTAGAGTGTATGTGGAGAGCCCCCTTCGAGGGAGGCCGCGCCCGCGGTGGATGTGGGTCACGCCCGCAGTGGGTGGGCCTCGCCCGCTTCAAGCCCGCGGCTGGGCATCTCCAGAATCACAGGGTGAAACTCATTTCACCCTGTCCGTGCCCGCGGTATGGGCCGCCACGCCCGCGGCCCTGGCAGTTGCGGTTTTCAGTCGTTCTTTTAATTGTGAAATTAAAAGAAGTGGGGATATTCCGTTTTCTCTCTTCTGGATATTCATTCTTCTCCACAATTTCTTTGAAGAAACTTGCAATCTCTTCTAGAAATCCTCTATCAATTAAATTTGTTTTGAGAATTTGATCATCTTACTACAATTATTCTTAGTGCAAAGATTGTGGTGTTCGTCTATTGTATCTCAAAGTGACTTTCCGGTTTCAACCCAAGCACCGTGGTGGGGAAAATAATCACTGAAAGTGTTTACACGCCTTAGATGAGTATCAAGTATTGAAGACTCACGTGGTCATTCCTATTCTCATTGTTCTTGTTGTTTTTCGTTGGCTTGGAGTGAGGCAAGTGTTCATCTTTCATACTTGTAGTTTAGTTTGTGTTTTTCTGTAATTAACTTTCTAAACTTGTTAGTGCTTGGTTTGCGTGTGGAATTGGTTATTATTATTTTCATTGTACTTTCTTACAATTCCCTCTTTTCTTAGTACTAGAATTTGTACTATTAGGAATACTTCCTAACATTCTAAAGTGATTATTAAAAATCATGTCTAGTGTGAAAGAATTTACCACTAATTTTGTCAAACTTAAGAAGTTTGATGGTATGGAGTTTCGACGTAGGAAGAAGATGTATTTTCTTCTTACTTCGTTGAAGGTTGCCTATGTTATTAGTACTCCTAGGCCGGTAGAACATGAGAATGAGACCATGGAAGATGTTCGTGAGAAATCAAAGTGGGATAATGATGACTTTATTTGTCGGGGTCATATTCTCAATGGGATGGAGGATGATTTATTTGATGTTTATCAACATATGGAATCTGCTAAGAAGTTATGGGAGTCTTTAGAGAGTAAATATATGGCGGAGGATGCTTCTAGCAAGAAGTTCCTTGTAAGTAATTTCAATAATTTCAAATTTGTTGATAATAGGTCCATCATGGATCAATTTCATGAGATACAACGTATATATGGTAACTTGAAACAACATGGTATTAGTGTTGATGAACTATTTGTTGTTTCAAGTATCATTGATAAGGTGCCTTGCTACTAGTTGGAAAGATGTGAAACATGAATTAAAACACAAAAAGGAGGACATATCTTTGTCTGATTTGGTTAGCTACCCATCTTCAAGTTGAAGATGGGATTAGGGCCATGGAAAATGCTAAGGATGGGAATCCTAGCACTTCCACCATCAATATGGTGGAGGAAGGTAAATCTACTGCTTCAACTAGTGGAAAGAGGAAGAATAATAATTCTTCCAAAGGAAAGTCCAAGAAAAAGAAGGACAACAACAAGTTTTCTTGTTGGGAATGCGGTAAAACATGACACCGCAAGAAGGACTGCTTCATTTTCAAGAAGAAAATGGAGAAATCCAAGGAGGGCCAAGCTTCTAAGAGCAAGGACCCACCCATGAAAGGTAATCTTTTACATGAGGTTGAATTTAATTCCGGTATGGATTTAAATGCAACGGATCCTAACATTCTTATGGTGCAGGATGATAACTCATGGTGGATTGATTCAGGGGCTTCAAGGCATGTATGCAAGATGAAGAATTGGTTCAAAACCTTTCACAAGGTTGTTGATGGAGAAGAACTCTATATGGGGAACAACTCTACCATCAAGGTCCAAGGAAGAGGACAAGTTGAGCTAATGTTTAGTTCGGGCAATGGTATCATTCTTAGGGATGTATTATATGCTCTGGAGATCAATAGGAATCTTGTATCTGGCCCTACCCTGAATCGACTTGGATATAAACTAGTGTTTGAAGCAGATAGATGTATAATTACTAGAGGTAGCACTTTTATTGGAAGTTGTTATTTAACTCATGGATTGTTTAAACTCTCTTTAAGAGAGAAGTTTGTAATGATGGATGATGTTTGCTTGAATGTTGATAATGACAATGGTATGAGTTTGTTTTATTTATGGCATTCTAGATTAGTCATGTTAATTTCAATAAATTGAATTTCATGTCAAAACTAGAGTTAATTCCACCATGTGATATTTCTTCTAATAAATGTTCTACTTGCATGTTGAATAAGATCACTAGAACTCCTTTTAAAAGGGTTGAGAGAAGTTCTAATATTTTAGAATTGATTCATAGTGACTTATGTGACTTTTATAGTACAGCTTCTTTGGGAAATAAAAGATACATAGTTACTTTTATTGATGATTTTTCAAGGTTTTGCTATGTGTA